GATGGGCTGCTTGTAATTTATGGCTTTGGCTTCATTGGTGATTTAAGCTCTTAGAGTGATAAAATGGCAGAGAGCTGATGATTATGTATGCATAAGGATTAACGGAGGCTATTTAAAGACTCCACGCAGAGCAGAGAAGACAGGGACACAATTTTCCATTCTGAAAGGAAGTGGAAAATCCATGGATTATCCTCAGAATGACTGTGCTGTGTTGTTCATTCATCAAACTTGGCGCTATGCCACAGTTCTGATACCAGAGGAAGCTTTTTACTGGACTGTGGTTGTTGGATATTGATCAGTCATTGGTTGGTTGGTAGTAGCAGCAGGTGGTGAACCAGAATGAATGCAACCAGGGTCATAAAGCCTCTTTACCTGGTACTGTGCATTTCACAGCAGCACCATTTCAACTATGACCTCAACATATGCTTGTGTACACTACTGTTCAAAAGTTTGGAGACAGTAAGAGAAAGAGAGACATTCATATTTTTTTTATTTAGCAAGGACATTTAATTATATTAAAATAAATGCTGTTCTTTTGAACTTTCTATTCATCAAAGAATCCTGACAAAAATGTACTGTTTCCACAAAAACATTAAGCAACTGTTTTGAACATTTTTAATGATATCAAATGTGACACTGAAGACTGCAGTAATGACTGCTGAAAATTCAGCTTTGCTTTGATGGTTATAAATAAAATGTGTTGTTTTAGGTGTGTTGTAAACCTGTGAAATATCTCTGCACAAAGACAAAAAACTGTTTCTGTGGGCAAAAAGTAAAAAACTAAAATGTATGCATTGCAATTTCATTGGCATGTTTGCTCAGTAGAAAATATTTTTTTCATAAGACCTAGATTTAGACCTAGGTCATGATGACTTGTGAATAGGCTGTTTTATGCTTTGAAGGCCTAAATGTCATTGAAGGAGTAAGAAATATGCTTTCTTTTATTCATAGTACTGAAACTACTTTACACTGCTTATTTGTATGTATATTTTGTATGCATACCTATATATATATATACACACATATGGATATGCACATACTGTGCATATCATATATACATTTCCATGCAACAGAAAAAAACCTTATTGAATTAATCCTTATGCAAGAACACTTAATTAAAATGAGTGTAATAACATTTTACAACCCTGTGCTCTGTTCTGGCAGATATTCACTATTCATAGTACTGAAACTACTTTACACTGCTTATTTGTATGTATATTTTGTATGCATACCTATATATATACACACATATGGATCTGCACATACTGTGCATATCATATATACATTTCCATGCAACAGAAAAAAACCTTATTGAATTCATCCTTATGCAAGAACACTTAATTAAAATGAGTGTAATAACATTTTACAACCCTGTGCTCTGTTCTGGCAGATATTCACTTGTCAATAAGAGTGTGATTAAAAGTGATTTGTGCACTTTTTGAATCAGAAGAAATAAGTCAGCCAAATGTAACCTGTTGTAAACAATGGTGGTTGTTCTGTATTACTCCCCAAACAGGCCTCATTAAGTCGAGGCATTAATACTCCGCTGTGCTTTCAGTGCTGTGGATCGCTGTGGGATCAGCTCAGGAGAGTTCCTTCCTGTCGATGGGGTTCGTTATTGTCACAAGCATCCTCACTAGCTCCTCTCGCGGTGAAGTTCCCTAATTAGTCACCTCACCTCACCTCACCTCAGGAGCTCGTCTCTCCTGATTCACGGAGAGCAGCACACAATACAAGGCACAAAAAGAGTCATTTTAATGAGGCCGTGTTTTCAGGTGTAGCTACTTGAGATAAAATTGAATTTTGTTTCACAGGTAGTGGGGTCACGTTAAAACACTGATTTTTGGGTACTGGGATAAAAACCGAACACAAAAATTAGACACATGAAAGTTTATGTAGCAAGAAATGATTTCGGTTTATTCTGTTCAACAGATGAATGCACTTTGTTTGAGTGCATCTGGTTTTTCCCACAAAATGTGTGCACTTAATACAGGTAAAACACCACCAGATACAAAATTATTTTTTTATCAATATTGACTAACAGGTCAAGTTCCCTAATTAGGGTTAGTTAAGTGTTTCAAACTGATTTTCAGGTTTACCTATGTCAGATTTTTCTTGTTAATTGTCAGTAGCAAGAGGGCCTTTTTATTATGAAGCAAAATATCTAAAAAAAAAAAAAATCCTAAACACTTGGTTTACAATTTATTGAAACTGACTTGAAAAAATATATATATATTTTATTCAGCAAGGACGCATTAAATTGATCAAAAGTGACCATAAAGGCATTTATGTAAAATTCAGTTTTAAATAAACAATGCTCAAAAAACATTATTTTAATCAAAGAATGGAGTAACGGTTGCCGAAAAGTTATTTTAAATTGTAATATTTCACAATATTACTTGTGAGCCCTATAGTGAGCATAAGAGACTTACTTCCAAACATGAAAAAAAACTTACCGACTCCAAGCTTCTGAATGGTAATGTATATATAATAATAAATAATAAAATTCATCAGAGACTGTGTGATGTTTTTGAATCATTATAATTACAGCTGAAGAATCACAGAAAACCAAAACACATTCATAATAAACACATTCATAGTAACAGTGAGCTAAAGTATAACTCTTTATAGCTATCCTGTGATGATGTGACTCTCATCTAACATTATTATCACTGAGAACTCAGCTTTTTAATATGCCATATGCTACAAGCAAGGTTCAAATCTGCATTGGAAACTCCACTGGGCTTTAAGTCCAACACTTTAACCACTCAGATGATGCTCCTGTGGCACTATATTTTTAAGTGTCTGGTTTTCACATTGGAAATAAAGACTAATGCAACTAATAATTTCACCATGCTGTCAGTTCCAGGCTGCACCACGCTGTGGCTCAGTGGCAAACAAAACAACCGTATCAAGTTGTCTTGAGCCCGCCAATCATTCCTCTCAGCAGGGTGAAGTAGCCTACTATCCATGGGGACGGCTTTACCAGAATCCCGGCTGAAGCGGATGTTGGAAGAGCCAGCAGCTGTGAACCCAGTGGCCTTGCCAAGCACTGCTGGACAGCCAAACCAGATGTGCAACCCAATAAAATTCATATTAGAGATGACAGGCAGACAGATGGGTGGGGCTGTGGGTGAGTAGATACGTTGTGTCTGAGGAAAGCTGGCAAACCACGCAAAAAAAGAGAGCGAGACATTCTCTTAAATGAAAAACAGAACACCATATGCTTCCAATGACGTTTACATTTTTAAGATTTTATTTTTAACTGTGAAGGTATGTAAAAACATGTGTGTGTCTATGATCCTGGGTTTCTGTTTTTAAAAATGCACAAGTCTTAGACTTAAACTGACACCTGGTGGTGTGGAGCCATATTTGTGAAAAAGTTTATGGTTAGTGATTTGGTTGTAAAAACGTACTAAAGCAGCTAATCTTGATTAATTTCTTTTGCAAGTGAAAGTGTCCAATAATAAGGGAGAGAGTCTTTTAAGATAAAGTGAATAGTATTCGGCTGATCATGTGATTTTAAAATGGCTGCCTACATGAGGTGACCTGCTTCATGTAAAGTAAATCAGCTTTTATTAGGTTATATGAGTGGAGTTACTCCACTGGAGTACCTCTCATGTGAGTGTACTTTAGATATTTATTCTTTCTTTATGTAAACATCGTTTTTATGAGGAAATAATCACTGATGGTTTCCCCTTTAAGTACCACTGGTGTAAAGTGTCCAATAATAAGGGAGAGAGTCTTTTAAGATAAAGTGAATAGTATTCGGCTGATCATGTGATTTTAAAATGGCTGCCTACATGAGTGACCTGCTTCATGTAAAGTAAATCAGCTTTTATTAGGTTATATGAGTGGAGTTACTCCACTGGAGTACCTCTCATGTGAGTGTACTTTAGATATTTATTCTTTCTTTATGTAAACATCGTTTTTATGAGGAAATAATCACTGATGGTTTCCCCTTTAAGTACCACTGGTGTAAAAAAAAAAAACATGAACAGAACTACAAATTAATAATGTATTTTCAGATTAACTTGTATCATCTCGTGGTATTTGTTCAAAACCATGCCAAAACCTTGCTTTATCAGTAAGTGTGTGATAGTGAAAGTTGGCATGTACAGCCATGTCCTAAAGACAACCCTCATGTCTGTTTTCTTCATTTGGTCCACAAGGTTTTGATTACGAGGAACTGCCCCTGGGACTCCAAGACCTCCGGACTCGGAGAGACCAGAAAGGGCAAACAACAGAAAGACAAAAAACAGCCCTTATGGTTATGGATGTAATATTTATTTCAAAGATCTAAATCAATGATGAGTCATTCTTACCAGAACAGTGCAATTTCACAGTTTTTGCCTGATTGGCATGTGATCAGCTTGGAATCATTTTCTGCTTGTGAGAATGTGTGGACTGTCACTATCTGTGGACTGTGACTGTGTAACTGAACCATGCCAAAGGACACTGGCTTTGCGTTTCGAAAAACTCGCCACTGTGATTGACAAGTTAGGGTTCCAGCTTGCGTTTACGAACACATATCACCACCTAGTGGTAATCAAGAAGTATTTTTTGTTTTAAATATGCATAGGTTCATACTTAATCCATTTTATCATTCTTAACCCTATACTGAGATAATATGAGCAGTTATTATGCTTAACTAAAACCCATTAAAAAAAAAACTTTAGTTACTTGAAATAAAATAAATGTTAAGTAAAGTTAAATAATAAAACTTTATTTCAGCTAGTTGACAAGGAAACATTTTTCATTTTCATTTAGTTTAATTTGATGCACTAAAACAACTAAAGCTGAAATAAACATTTATTTAAAACTACACACATATTTAAAATAAATAAATAAATAAACAATAAATAATTAATACAATGACAAAAATACACAAAAAATAACTAACTAAAATTAAAGCAAAACTGGGGGGGAAAAAACTAATTCAAAATATTAATGAAAAATATAATAGTATCTAAAATAACACTAGTTAGAACATGAGAAAGATAATGTATCCCAGAGAAGTTAATTTAATTTAGCCACACGCCAGATGGATTTGACAATATTTCTGCATAAAATACATAAGCGGTAAATACACTGTATCAAATCTTGTCAATCTCATCAAATATATTTTTATGAACCATGCACAATGATAAAACAAAACAGCTGATGTGTTTAGCATGCTGAATAATTTATGGCAGATAATGTGACTTTCAAAATACAGCTCTTAATTCTTCACATATCAAAGATCAGAACTGAAACATATGCCACATAAAAGGTTTTTTAAGAAATCCTGAGAAATGTCGTGAGGCATATCAGCCACTGACTGAATTGACAAAAGGAATGGAACATTCCGGACGTCTGCGTGCATGTGAGAAAGGATACGCAATGAATGTCGAGCTCAATTCCCTGCCTTTGGTAAGATTAATAACAGACTCGTCTGGGCCGTAAAGCTTGAATCTGAGGAGAAGTTATGAAAACCTTGTGGATTAAGCTGGTGATTAGAGTGAAACTCTAAATTAAATTTCCAAGTATGTCTACATAAAACACGTGTCTTGAGCTTGATATCACTCATCATTTAACATTAAATACTGTCTGTTGAGGGATCACTTTTCTAAGAAAGCAGATATTTCTCAGTGCTGTAAACAATAGCTATGTGATCAGACTTTAATACATGGATCATTAGTGCAAATCTGCAAGAAATACTATATGGCTATTATTAGACATGATTTTGACACACACAGGCTTGTCATCTGGCTCTTCTCCTCTGAACCACAATGGTTCCAGCCACAACGTCATAAACAGTTCTGTTGTGCTGGAAAAATAGTAACGTGATAAAGATAGGGAACAGGAAGGCGATGGAGAAGTTTTTGTTTAAAGCCCGTAAAGTGGAGCTGAAAAAAAAAAAAAAAAAAAAACATTTGCATTATTATACTACCTATGAAATTGTTAATTGGTATCTATCTATCTATCTATACAATTACGGATGCCATGATTACATAATCGTTCAAAGAGGCAATTAATCATTCAAAGTCTACTTATGTTATTCTGCGTGCTTAAAATGCTTTTTTTTTCTTTCTACAGGTTATCTTTAAGCTGATGATACACGGGGCAACTTTTTGAGCAATGTTGCCGGGCAACTTTGGGTATTGTTGCCATCAACGGGCAACCAGGTGAGACACAGGGCCCCCGGACCGATCTAAAGTATCTATAAAGTAAATTTGTTACCCGTTCTCAATGGGAAAGTGCCCAAGCAACATTGCTCAAAAAAAGTTGCCCAGCAAAATTGCTCAAAAAGTTGCCCCGTGTATCATCAGCCTAAGTGTATGTCCATTGTTTTAATTTTAGTATAACATTATAATACCATGCATATTTTTACTTTTTTTTTTTATATAAAAAACCAATCCACTGTATAGCTGATATTTGAAGCTTAACACCATAGAAAAGCAATAACAGTTTCTCAGTTAGTGTTTTCAGCCTGTTTATTTTCAAATAATTTCAAGGAAATTTTGTCATAATCATTCAGCCCTAATACCGTATTGGCCCGAATATAAGACGACCCTGATTATAAGACGACCCCCCCTTTTTCCAGATGTACCTTTTGGAAAAAGGCTTTTTAAAAACCAAATCTTGCTTTTTCTCAGTAAAACACATTTTGTCTTCAATTATTTTCATATTGCATATTTTTCCTATTTTAATTTTTGTTTTGAAAGTATGGTAAAAACTGGTCAAATGTACCAACAATCACATTTAAAAAATATACACTTTTTGATATACCAAAAAAAAAAAAAAAAAGGTAGCCCATCTGAATTAGGACATTTAAGCTATCCATCTAATAGTAGCCTACCAAAATCTTATTAACAGTAGAAGTTAAATCTTACTGTAGTCTTCAACTCTGGGTACTGTCTTACGTTTTAAAATCAGTCCCATCAAACTAACGTGACAGTCACGACTCATGCAGCTGTAAGGTTTTCTTTGTCTTTTGTTTTTACTCGCGATCTTTACCACACACATTACATTACGTATTTCATGGCACACTCGTTTTATGCGTATTTGGCACCACATATTGTTGTGGGTGTATTATTGACATGTCAAAGTCTAGACCCTGAATATAAGACGACCGTGTTTTTTCAGATGTATTTTCAAAGAAAAATACATTGTCTTATATTCGGGTCAATACGGTAGTATACATATATATATGGCCACAGCATTATAAATATACGCATAACTCACGCAGAGAAGCTGACACTGGATGCCGGTACCACCAAAACCCGATTTGGCTGCACTAGGACTGTCGTATCACATGTGACGACTCGAAGCCCCAGCAGGAACTTTCCCGGAGTGGCACCTCCAGCTCCCCAAATACAGATGATCTGCAGATGAAGACAGAACACAGACTGAAGGAAATGTGTGGGCTGTTTAAAAATATAAACTCATAACTCATTCAAATCACGTTTAGACTACAGAGTTTTTCTACCACATGCTGCTACTAAGTGAAAATATTACAAGGCTAAAATGACTGATTATTTATTTTTCTGATAAAACCGATCTAAAACTGTAAATTAAAAACAGATTGAGAGACAAGGCTTGTAATTGTGGCTTTCACAACATGAAAGACGCTCACTCACTTCATAGACACACACTAGGACTCTGTATGCTAAAGCCACGGCCATCATCTTCTGCAGGTCCTCCAGTGATGTGTTCTCATCAATCTCTTCCATGATAAACTGCATCATGAACTTGGAGATATCTCTGTTCACAAGATCGAAGTTACATGAACTGTCATACAATGTACTGTATATACACTATGTTCAAAAGTATGGAATCTGTAAGATTTTTTTATGTATATGAAAGAAGTCTCTTTTTTACAGTAAAAATAGTAAAACTATGTAAAAGAATTTGCATTTAAAATATATTTTTTTCTATTTTATTCCTGTGATGCAAAGCTGAATTTTCAGCATCAATACACCAGTCTTTAGTGTCACATGATCCTTCATTAATCATTATAATATCCTCCTGAGAACCAGAAATAAAAAGCTTTGTGAATTTAGTATTTTTTCATGTCATTACATTGTTTAGAGCATAAGAAAAAAATGTTATGCTATGTCCTCTGTAGAGGACACCAGGACTCCGTTTTTCTAAAAAATAAAATGACAAGAATAGACATGAAAAGGCAAAAACAATGGGAATTTTTTTTAAATCACCAATCAATTTTTAGGTTTCAGGATTTTTTTTATAACTAACTTTGTTTAAGGATGGTTCTCAACTATGTTATAAAACATATAACAAAATGATTTGATATACCCTTTTGCTTTATGCAATATGTGTGTAAAAATTCCATAAACTGGTTTTCCCATTAAGGGAATTCATATATAATATGAATAATATCATATTATCTATACACTGCATCTAATTTGCATATTAAAGTGCTGTTGGGACAGCATGTTGAAAAAAGAAGTGTAATAATGGGAGTAGTCATTGGCCAGATTTTCATAATAATATCTAATATTTCATAAGAATATTGATATATCATTTTTTTTCCTATTCAATTCTTTTGTCTCCCAAAATGTATAATAAACATGCTTTTAGTCCTGGTGTCCTCTACAGTGGACATGTATTAAATTATGTCCTGTTTCATAACAGGAAGTCATATTTTGATTTGAAACCCCATAACATTTTCCTGAGATGTTGATTTATGACAAACAATTTTAAAATTAATCAGATTTAAATTATAATTACAAAATATTATCATATTTCCATAACGATGTGCAATTTTATCACTAAATTAATGTCAGCCATTTTTAAAGACCAAGGAGAGAGAGGGGTCACGGTGAAATATCCAATAATTTGGTATCTCTGAAAAGCCCTGAATGTGCTCTGTACAGGACATCCAGACTTAAAACTGTGACATGTGGGGTCTCAGAGAAATTCACTAAAATATAATGTCCACTACAGAGACAAAAACTCCATAGCTGGGTCTCAGGAGGATATGCTGAATTGAAAAAACATTATCAATGTTTAAAACAGTTGTGCAACTTAATAACTTGTGGAAACTGTGATATTATATATATAACAGTACATCTATAACTACATGATTCAAGAAGGATAATTCATACTGGATCAATTCCTTTCTTGTTCTCAACATGTTCTCGACTCACTTCATTCCACTGAGATGCATGATCCACAACACTATGGTTGCCTTAAAACAGAAGAGAATGAAGAAATCCACAGTTTCAGCCAGAAATCTACGCAGAGGGGAGGGGATGGTGTACTCTCTACCTGAAAGAACAAAGGACGAAGTTAGGACCATGAAGTTAGAACCTAACTTCAATGCTTCAACAGATATATGAAAATTAGACTTTTTCACATTAGTGTCACAAATTTGCTTACACCTGATTGGTGATGTATGCAGAAAGGCAAATTAAGTGTATAATTAAGTGCAATTCTTCCGGTAAAAGATACTATGTGCCATGCAAATTAAGGTTGGCCTCTATAGGTGCTGTGCTGTGACACAGTAGCTGGTGCACAGGTGTCATTGTGTGTCAAGGCTTTTACAGCATCACATATTTTAGGAAATATTTTATAATCTTAATTTTATTTAACAGTTTTTATTTGTAAATCTGTTTGATCTTAAATGTGGTGTAAGAATTTTGGTCCGCACTGCATATACCTGTACTACTGCAGGTACTAAATGGCTACGATACTGAGACAAATAGTTCTCCAACGCCAAGTTCACATGGCAAAGGTGGCACAGAAGCGCTTCTAAACTGGCAGTTAGGTGTCTTTACACAGACTGTCTGATGCTGCTCAGAGGTGGCATAAATGCATTTACACTACAATTTTCCATTTACTTCGGAACTGGATATATAATACTAAAAGTACATATGATGGGGGATTATGGAGATACAGGTACATAAAAGGTACATTTATTCCAATTCTTCATTAGCATTTGTTAACGTGTTTAAAGGGATAGTTCACCCAAAAATGAAAATTCTGTCATTATTTACTCACCCTCATGTCGTTCCAAACCTGTATGAGTTGCTTTCTTATGTTGAACACAAAAGAAGAAATTTTGAAGATTGCAGGTAATCAAACAGTAGGGGGGGGAAATACTATGGAAGTCAATGGCAACCACCAACTCTTTGATTACCAGCAATCTTCAAAATAACTTATTTTGTGTTCAACATAAGAAAGCAACTCATACAGGTTTGGAACGACATGAGGGTGAGTAAATGATGACAGAATTTTCATTTTTGGGTGAACTGTGCCTTTAATGAAGCAACTAAATACTCCGTCTCCTCGAAGCACTGGGTTGACAGCTACCTGCAGGCTGTGCTGGTCCTCTCTCAGCAGTGCTGGATGAGGCAGTGGCTGCTGAACGGATGGATGGTGGGCTGCTCATCTGGTTATACCAAGCGGCGATGTCAGCGGGCGTCGCGGCACACGCAGATGTGGAGCTGCCGCCGGGTGCCTGGCAACCGAACTGAGGCGGAGGGAAGAGCGGCGCGGACATGAGCACCCAGCTCTGCCAGCTCACATAACCACTGTAATAGCGCCACATCCACTGCTGCAGCCGCTTGCAGTATTCCGTCGTTGTCATGTTGTCATCGGACCCTTGACCGTGTTCTTCCGCCATGTTTACTCCTTGAGACTTGCTCCGGAGAATTCAGTTCCCCTGTTTCTCCTTCAGTGCGTCTGCGCAGCATCGAGACGATAAACACGTCGGTCCTCATGATTTCGCGCATGCTCTGTCGAGCGGATCGTGTGCTTCTATCAGGTTATAGCGTTTATACCTTTATCCCCGTCAGCATAAGGTACATTTCACGATGTTTGTTAGATCATTTGTAATTGCATGCAGGCTTTAACGTATAGAACGTATTGTTTTCAAATGCTTTATTGCTTAATCGTTAGTCAGATCCCTTGCGAAAAAGAACCATGCTTTTATTATAGTACTAGGGTAGAGTGGGAGGAAACGCCCCCTTTAGGTTTGCTTTTTTTTTGTTAAACAAAAGTTAAATGTGTCCAGAATCATAGTTTTAGTGACAATGACATAAATTATAAACCAAGTATGAAAAATATCCAGAGTTTCATGTTACAAAAATTTAATTTGTACCAATCTGACAAAACAATTTGCTTTATACATTTACAGCAAAATCAGAGTACAGGGAGTTTTAGCTTGAAATTAACCTCTTAAGACCCGGCAAAACATTTTAGGAACAAAATTTAATTTTTTCATGTCATTACACTGTTTAGAGCATTAAAAAAAAGTAAAAAATGTTTTTTATTATTATATTTCATTCATAAGTTATGCTACGTACTTGGTAGAGGACATCGGGACTCAATAAAAAAAAAGGCAAAAACAATTGATTTTTAAAAAAATCACCAATACATTTTTAGTTTTCAGGATTTTTTTTTTTTTACCAAACTTTGTATAAAGATAATTCTCAACTATGTTATAACAGAATGATTTGATATACAATTTTTCTGTATGCAAAATGTGTGTAAAATGGCCATAAACAGGTTTTCTCATTATACCGTATACAATGTATCTATAAACTAAATCTAATTTGCATATTAATGTGTTTTTGGGGCAACATGTAATGAAAAAAGAAGTGTAATAATGGGAGTAATAATTGACAAGATTTTCATAATAATATATAATATTTCATAGGAATATTTAAATATAATTTATTTCTATATTCATTTGTTGTGTCTCCCAAAATGCGTAATAAACATGCTTTTAGTCCCGGTGTCCTCATATGAGGACATGTATGAAATCAACGTCCTGTTTCATAACAGAAAGTACATATTTTTCCTGAGATGATGATTTATGACACACAGTTTAAAAATTTGTCAGATTTAAATGATAATTACAAAATATGATCATATTTCCATAAGAGTGTCACTAAAGTAATATCAGACATTTTTGAAGACCAAGGAGAGGGAGTGGTCATGATGAAACATCCAAACATTTAGTATCTCTGAAAAGCCCTGAATGTGCTCTGTTCAGGACATCCAGACTTAAAACTGTGGCATGTGAGGTCTCAGAGAAATTCACTAAAATATAATGTTGCCATATGAGGATGCAGGGTCTCAGGAGGTTAAAGCTTGTTGTTTTGTAGAACATCACAGTTATATATGATATAAGAATAGTAAGGCCTGTAGATAGGGAGTACGCGTTATTTAAGAAAAATATAATATTTTCAGAAGGACATGGCAAAACACCCCCAGGGGGCATGGCTTAATTAGGCTACTGTAGTTACTCTGTCCTGAACATCAAATCCTTTGCTTTTCCATCAGATGTATAGTTACTAGGTGGTTGAATAAAAAGATTTGGAATTTATATTTAAAAATCACATCAAGTCAGTTAACATCAGCTAACAATATTTTTCAAATAGGCTATTATAATTTTGTAAGTCATAATTATTGATTATATTCTTTTTAAAACACTTATTTTCTTACTGCTGAAAATTAGATCACTTGCTGTGAAATCCGTTTTCTCTCAGGTTCATCACCAGTGTAAGCTTCATGGTCTCTACATCCAGGGTTGGGCAAAGATACATCAAAATGTATTTTTAAATAAAATACCAAATACCTTAATTTTAAGTGTATCAAAATAAACAACAAAATACAGCAGCCACACCAAGTATCAAAATAAACTACTGTATTTTTGTATTTTAAAAATACTAAAAAATACTTTTACAAGGGAGCATGACATTTTTTCACAAACCTTCCATCAATTGGCCTATTTGATCTATCTCTTCACCAACACACTGATGTTTGTGAACAAGTGAACAATGTTTGATAGCAACAGCTTTTCTCTGCCCGAGTCATGCAATAAATCTGACATATGCAACCAGTTAACAGATCAAATATTCACATGTCCCTGTGATTTCCCAAATGAAGGTTAGTTTTAAAGTAACCAACTGTTTAATGTTTAACAGTTTGCGAATGACTCATAATTGTATCCTAATTTAGTTACATGGTGTTTGGTAACAAAGGGCCTACTTTGCATCAGCAGCACTGACTCAATGACAAACAAGTCATTCATAAGAAGACAACTGATGGCACCTGTATTCATAGCAACTAGTTTCTAACTACTTAATCATTTGATCGTTAGTCATTAGATCATTAGATCATTAGATTCATGCAACGGTATGTAAAATCATGATCCTATTTAAACAGCTACTTCAATTAGGGTACATTATTAAATGTATTAAATGTAGTCAGGAACGTAAACAGAAAGTAGCAACAGAAATTGTCAAGGAGTATTAACCCAACTCCAACCACTGAATCTATTGAGAGCCATAGAAGTATAAAGGACATACACATATTCACTTATAATACGTGCAATTGCACCAAGCACATCACATTCTATTACTCATTCATCCAGGCTTCCTTTTGAATGAATGAATGAATGAATAATTCCTGCCCACTAAAAGCTGCACGGATATATTTGCTTTCCCCAACAGGCCTATGTAAACGATTTAGAAAAATGTCCATCGATTCACACTTTATATCATCGCCACGGTATGTATTGTCATATCACCGAGCCCTAACATGCAGTAATGCTTTAAACACATTTGACAAGCTAGTTGATCAAAAACAACAACAACAACAACAACGATTAACTATTAAAACTGATTGGCTAACGCTATTTTTCCCCTTGTCAGTGCTCTTTTATTCTTTCATGTTAACTGACGGCAAATCTGAATGATGCACTATTTTAACTTTAATCAACATGTACAATTGACCATGACATCCTCACCTTATCTTATTCCAGAAAGGTCACTCACCCAATGCTGAATGGAGCTGTACAGCTGCAGCTCACGTGATGAATGTTGGGTTTGGGAGAGGTGGTATGTCTGAACTAAATCAGCACCTTGATATAGAGGTTGACTGGCACAAAGTATTTTATGTATTTTGAAAATACAAAAATACTAATCTTAAATGTATTTAAATACAAATTACATTAGATTTTTGCTGAAGGCTTTCAAATACAAAATAGTATTTTGTATTTTAAATACATGTATCTGAAATATTGCCCATCCCTGCACATCACTCTTGTCAACGTTGTCAATGTATCTTGACTTTATCTAGTGGTTATTTTGGGGGAAAAATTGTAAGGGGCATTTTACCCCAAGGGGGCGTTTTCCTCCACTCTACCCTACCACATGTTTTTTTTTTTTTGGCGTATTGTTTACAATTTTGTATAACCACACAAATTATCCATAGTAAAAACAAAAAAATTTAAAGTACCAAAAAAAAATGTTATTCTTTCTTTTATAATTCTTTGACAATTATTATGCGTGCAGTGTTTAGTCCTCTTAATAATCGAGACTATATGGAATGTTTGATTATAATATTGGCACAACCTTATATTGACAATTTCGTTTACACATATAAATACATTTAAATTGATATCAATTTTAATTTTCTTTTATTATAAAATGTCTACAAATTATTCCTCATATACAGTCCAATACATTTACATTTGTGAAAGTGAAGCTTGTCGAGACTCATCACTAGGTGGCGACAATGTCTTTCACATGATTTTGGTTATGGTAATGAACTGATTTATTCTCGATAAAATTCAATGGAGTTATGTATGTTCAAATAGAGACCAAAATAAGCGTAATGACACAGATTTTCATATTTAAACGTTCTTTGTTTTAAACAGGGGGCCGAGAAATAGAAAGGTGGAAGGAATTGTAAACACTTGAGTACTTGGGAGCAGTCCCAAATTCAGTTTCTGCATGATAGCAGGTGTACTGAAATAAATTGTGCTTATTTAGACATCCGCATGTCAGTGCAAAAGGGTCCCTGGATGCTTGTTGTGGTGGCCAGCTGTTAAAAAACTGATGTATTTATGTCTCTGTGTTGCTCTCATTCTCTATTGGTGCTTTATTTGCTGACTGGACTGCCCTGGGCCTGTGAGTAAGGTCTGGCCAGCCTAGTGACTGTGCTGGGCCCTGAATGGAGGCCCCCAGGCGGAATAGAATCAGCCCATGTGAGGATGATCACCTCTGACAGGACGTGAGGTGACTTGCGCAGCGATAATCAGGGGCAAAAAAAAGCTGTTTCTAGCCAACGCTGACCTGCATGGAACTCGCCTCCAGCTGAGGATTACGAGCGAGGTGTGTGAGTGTGTCTGTCTGCTGTCGATACACAGATAATCATAGTGCCTGCATGATTTGAAGCAAAGAATCACAAAGGGTTAAAGTATTCAAAATTCAAAATTAAATCACAAATGCAGAGGAGAACACCAATACACTCTGATTTATTGTCTTACATTTGAACTTTGTTATTATTGTGGTTGTGTCAGGAGTCTGTGCAGCGTCTGTTTAGGGAGGCCGGAGGCAATAATAATAAGTGACTCAAAACCTTTGCTGACCTCTGTGTTATACACATTAACAAAAAATCTGCACAATTAAAGAACATTTAAATGTTAAATGCCAATTTTGGTTCATCATTTCATGGTTCATTCAGAGCATGCCCTAAAGAAACCCCTACCATTACAAGCCTCGTCACAGCCTGTAGCCCATACAAGCTAAGAGGAAACATAGAGGAATTAAATAGAGGAATCAACTTTCCTGCATGTAAGAACAACACAAACCCTCCCAATCTTCAGCTGCAGACTCAAAACTACTTAAAATGTATTTACTAAAACTAAAAAGGTGTTTTTGTTCAAATGAAATGTAT